CCGCTGAGAGTAGAGCCGATGTATAAAACATCTTATTCAAACCTAGCTCGCGTGGCTGTGGTCGCAGCTGAGAGGGTTCGGATTCTTTCGTGGGAGCTCGAGCGGTTTGCATCGTGAATTCCTAGAATGGCCACGATCCGGAGAGGTTTGCTGATTCTTTGCCAGGCAATGGTTCTCACCGATGAGCTCCACGCAGCCTCGCCTAATTTGATGGAGACGCCGCGCGCGCCAGTGATGCGTCTCCCTACCTCCCAACAGCGTATTGAGTTTCTGAATCCGCTCCGAACTTATTTCGCGGAACGTGCCTTCCATGTTGGCATCTTTGATAATGCGAATAGATCACGCATTGAGCTCATCGCTCGGGCAAGGGATGTGATTTCCCGCAAGATTCCGTGGATGATTCCTGCAATCCGGCCGCATCGGCTCTCTCTCTCTAATACCCGAGGGAGATCTTGCACGAGCCAGCTGACCTCTTCCCGACGAACACAAAATATTCCGCGGGAAATATCCACGGGGCTCATTTATTCCCTGGATTTTCCTCTTCGATCGAGATTTCGCCCTTTGGACTCAGCAGGCTGCCGACACGAAGACAATTTACCCATGGCTCGCGTCGTCGACGGGAACGACGCTTGCCATTGATTGAATACTAAAGACCTCACCAATACGCAAGCATCGAGATCATTCTCGTCGGAGATACATTTCAGCTCCGATGTCGTCTTGACTATATCCTGCTGCCACGGGGAGAGCCTGGCAGAATCGAGAGCGTTTCCTCTTGATCGGTCAGGGTTAGAAACGATAGCGATCCGGAGATCGTCATATGCGGACGTAAGCGATTAGAAAGAACGTGGAGCGAGTTGATAGTCCATAGTTGAAAGTCGCAGTGTCCCGTTCGAGACAAGCTGACCGCTTCTGTGGTTTCTCCCCTGTGCCCTACGGGCCGCTCCGCGCACTTTTGCCTTTCTCCGTGATCCCTTGCTTGACAAGATTTCTTCCTTCCCCGCTTTCGGACATGTCAGGCTTCGAGATGATGATCTCTCTCGTTTTTTTCTAACGCTCTTGACTAGAATTATGGAGACTGATGACTTTTTGGAGAGTATACTGTCACGGCTCCAGGTTTTTTCGCTCGCGAAACACGAGATCTCCTAGTATCCGGCGGATTCTGTGCCGAGAAGCGTCTCGAGTGATTCGGGATTCGAGACTCTACTACCACGTAACAAACAACAAGGAGCATCGGCTGAAACTACACCTCCAGAGAACAGGTCGTCGGTCGACATTCTGTTGACCACCCACGTTGAAATCCAACTCACAGTGACCCGTGACCACGAACAGCCGGCATTCCGTGGACCGCGAAGTGTCGAGCAACAGCTTGAGAACCCGAGGTGAAAGGAAGTGAACTCTCCGACGGCTTTTGAATCTCGCTTAGGGTAAAGGTAGTGGCCGAAACCATATCGCTCTGAGATTTTCTCCAGCCAGTCTAGTGCAGGCGGCACGGACTGGATTTCACTCAATATTTCAGTCCGTGCCCTTGTGAGGATGCGCTCCTCCAGTGATTGTCTAGGTGTCTCGAGATGTAATCTAACTAAGCAAGGCACGACCCAAGTGTTGACCTGATTTTCGGATCGAAAAAAACCGGCCGAGTCCTCCCATTCCGATCAGATGACAATGGCTCTTCTTCTCTTGTAACCCTGATTAGCTTCTTCTGCATCCAACTTGATCACTGCGATCACTGCGGCCTGAGAATCCATGTTGTCAAATTGTATCAAATGCTCGACAGATCGAGACGTTGTACTGGTCGAGTACGAATTCACATTCCCTCCGGACCTCCACCAGATTGACCTCTCGCCGACGATAGTCTGGTCGGCCACAGACGGAGAGGTGCCCGAGCGTGTCTCTGGCGGCGTCCAGGACGACTGTGCTCCGCTTGTCAGATCGCTCAAGTCGTGCGTTTGACATTGCATTCGTTGTTCCCCCTATTCAGAGACGTACCGCCAATTGTTTGTTCGGCCTGCGCCGAAATTCTCGGTTAGAGGATCCATCAAGCAACGTGTCTTGATATTCTGCAGCCCTTTCCATGGAACAGGGCTCCCGAAGTCTCCTGGCTTCCAAAACGCACAAGCCTGTCGCACCGTGTCCCCATTTGGAGCGATTCCTCACGGCGCGATTCGACTGACAGAAAAAAGAAGTCGTCGTGAAATCTCCGGCTGTATCCAAAATTTCGCGATCCATTAATCTTTTGATAAAGGTTTTGCGGCTCGATTGAGAATTCCGAGTCGAGAATTCGTGAAAGATGCTTATCTGGTTCTGCTGCCTGAGCCGAAGGCGATTCTCAGGGTTCGCATCCGTGCACCCATTAGGGAGGCCTAGCATGTCTGACGAGAGTAGGCCACCGTACTCCTCGATTTGCTCCCACGGTACTCGGGATGGAAAAACGCACTCCAACCTTGTTATGCAGTGGAACTGAAATCGACGTGATGAGGAGAAGGTGTCTCTAGCTGCGCAGCAGCCTCTTCGAACGATGTGTACACCAGCTCGATTTTCGAATCCCGAAGGCCGAACACGGTAAAGATAACGGCGTTCGACGAGAGCCGGAACACTTGAAAGGCTGAAGCAACTAAGTGGCCTCTTGGTAACTCTGATAAAACTCATGTATTTCGAAGCCTGCATGAGAGTGAATAGAACGCATGCTCACCGGATGAGTGGCAGAACATCTTTCGAACAAGCGAGGCGCAGCAGGAATAATAATTATTCCGGTCGCAATATTCGACTCAGGAACGTCGGGATCGAACGGCGTCGAGGGAAGGGGTGACTTGAAAGGATCTCGAATAAAGGGCTTGTTTCTCAATCGAAGCGTCGATATCAACAACGGCAGCTATGACAACAGCGGGATATCCGGAATTCTTCAGGCTCTTGAGCTCTTTCAGCATCGCTGGGAGAGCTGATTTTTCGGTTTTGATCGGATCGGGGCAACGGGAGCGCTCGTCGCCGACAGAAAAACAGAAGCTGTCAAGCAGATATCGTTTCTCTCTGAAGACTCGGGGGAATACACGAGATCGTTTCGTGTCGCTGGAATGTTGCGAGAATATCCAGAATGTCACATGACATCGCGCGGATCATCCAGTCTCTTGAGACGCTTGGTCTACGTAGTTTGTCCTCGAGATGACTCATCGGCAGAGTTTGAGAGAATATCGGTCTCGTTGCGTCATCGTGTATGAGTACGGGACCTACCCTCTCGAACTTCACGCTCTGACATGCTCTCAAAGAGAAAATGATTCAAAACCTCCAGAGAATAAACGACATGCACCGTAGAGCTGGGGTCCAGTCCTCAAATTGTGGTTGATATCGACACTGCTTATTGACTTCGTACGAATATCGGAACTTTCCCAGATATTGAATACGGCACAGCTCCGACAGGCGCTTGTCAGCGGAGGTGCGTATCACCGTACCGGTCTGAGGAGATTATCCTTATCAAAACAAAGCGTGGAAGAAGTAGCTATTAGTTATCTTGTAACACCGGCTGCTGACGGAAAGACAGTGACAGTTCCGCGGTCACGCTCCCGCGTGCACGGAATGTGCCTTGCCGCATCGTGATAAAGCACGGATGCGACAGCGAGCGTCCCCTCAATCCTTGTTGCTCATCCATAATCCTCTGGCTTCTAGTCCAATCTCAGACCAGCGTGTCAGCAATCGGCGGAAGTGATTTCCGCCGCCGGCTGCAATCCTTTCGTTCCGCGGTCTTCTTGTCGAGATCGAACTCCTTATTTTCCCTCCTCTCCACGTTTTTTTTTCGGTCCCGGTCTTTCCTCCGTCGGAGATCGAGCCTATCGGGAGCGGTCTATCAATCCGTAGATTGTTTTTCCTCGCCCCGGATTAGAGCGTTTTTTTCTCGCCCGATGTTTTCCTCGATTGTAAAGTATCCAATACCGATTGCCACCCGACGGGACGCATTCAGCGTCGGTGGGGGCGACGGCTCTCACTTATGACGTCCGGGTCTGTGAGAGGACAAGACTTGTTGGTGGCGCTCGAACGTGCTCCCCGTCTAGCGTTGTCATCGGCGGCGCCGGGTAGACTTGGTCACGCTCGTTCGACGAAGCACTTTCTCCTTTCTTCTCCTGACACGCACGTTGGGTTTCCCTAATCTAATCGTGGTCGGCCGATCCTCTGTATCGCTGGTGCAGTGTGCATCTTGCATCGTTATTCAGCTTTTCGTGGCAGTTGGAGCTGGTGGCCGGCGATCTCTGCGGAGAACCGAGCGAGATTCGTTCGACCCACCGGCTGACCGACCGTTCGTCAGAGCGAGCTCGAGACCTCTCCGCAGTGTCTCACGAGCCCATGGCACCGTCAAGTCTCACTAGCAAGCTTCACGTGTGAGCCAGCCGCCAAATCTGCCAGCCTCTCAGCCGACCAGTCATCCCGCCAATCGTCCGGAACCCGACCAATCTCCTAGAGAGCTAGCGAACGCTTCGCTCGGTTTTTCCATGGAAACTCGAGAAGCGTCGTTTGTATAGAACAGAGTGTTTTTGCCCTGCTCGTTCCTCCGAGGTCGCGTGGGAGTGGAAACATCGACCGAGTCGGAGCCAAGTGTTGCGCAATCGACGTTCAATCGGAACCCCTCAGTGGCGACGGTGCCGCTCCGATAACTGAGAGGCGATGCTGTGGATGTGATAACCTGATATGAGGTTTTTGGATACAGTGTATGAATTGGGAGAAGACGACGTCGATCGCATCGATCACGTCAACCATGAGCCCCAGTGGATTCGGAACGTTTGGTGTACAAAGTGCGTGACGTCTTATGCGAAGCATCGTTACAAGTGTATCGGTTTTCGCGTCATCACTCGCATGACCGGGAATTCGATAGAGATGGAAGCTGACAATCGAAGAGTAGATCCGCGTTTCTCCACGATGGCGTCAACGCGTCGGAGACTCTATGGGGATCTCGGCCCGCGAACAAAGCCCTGACTCCGCTCTCCATTTTTTTCAGTGTGCTGTCAGGCCATAGTTGGGTTGCCGACATGGAGCGGGTCACAGACAATCAGGACGGGGCAGAGGCGCCGCGCGATCCTGGAGCTCTTACGTCGCACCCCAGCTACACGGATAAGGATTTCGAAGGACATCGAGGCCAGACGGTCTATGTCGGGCTTCATGTGCCCGGATATAGACGTCGGGCCAGCGCTTCGGGACCTTCAGGACACCACAGGTGGGTACTGCAGGAACTTCAGCTTTCAGTGATCTCCAGCTGGGAAAAAATCATCATTCTTGGAGGCGGAATCATCTTCACATCAAACGATGGGAGCAGAGTATACGGGGGGGGAGGGGTGCGCCGGGGGTTTCTTGAATCTCCTCATTAGGCACTCATTTTTCGGATCCCACCGTTTTTCCCCGTTCGGACGATCACAGGCATATCGCAATCTTGTAGTGAAGTTCAGGGGATGCCCAATCCAGTCAGCGAAACGGTGATCATGTTCACTTAGACTTTCGGATTCCCACAGACGTCACCGCCATCATGGCAAAAAAGGCTCGCCTCAAGGAAGCGGTGCCCCTGTTCAGGAAGACAGGATTCAAGCTCCGGCAGAACGAATCCATTTTCTCTTGGGCGAAGAGGATGAGGCTCACGAATCGCATCCCCTCTTCTCTGAAATGGAAGTTCTCACCCAAAGCCAAGAGACCGGAGATTACGAATGGAGGGAGGCCGCCCGCTGGATCAAATTCGAGGAGGTCTGTGCAAGCACGACTTTTCGGTTTCTTCTTCCCGTCTCATATCGGAAAACCCCGTAGATTTTCTCCCGTATGTATTGACCTTTCCCCCTCTTTGATTCAGAACGTAGAAGAAGGCGGCGACCGTTGGTCGAAACCACACGTATCGACAATCTCCCTCCACGCGCTGATGGACCTTCGTAGCTTTTTGCTCAACGGAACAGTCTTACTAGACATGGAAGCCTCCAGCCTAGAGAGCATCGCGGAACTAATCCTCGAGAACATGGTGAGTTCAGGTCTCATGTTCAGAGACAAGTGTTTATCACCTTGGATTCATCAGCTCCCTTCCCTTCAAGCAAATTCTGACGAATGTCATTGTCGCCAGGTCAATTCGAAACAGCTTCCTATGACGGCTCTGGACTGTCGCGATCGCATCAAAGAAATTCTTCTGAAGCGACATCGTCATCAACACGAGAAGCGACAGACAGACGCCAAGCGCCTTCCTTTAATTCGCTCCCTAGCTGATATTGGACGCAACAGCTCCAAGTCAATGTTCGGCAATGCCAACAACAGTACGTATCCCTTTCGATCCGCCAGATCGATGTTGTATCGAGCGAGATATTCCTCCTATGTACATACGTCGCCATATATCGATCGTAAGGAAAACTTGACAACGATCGCTACTCGGAGGAATCTTGAGTCGCGCCCGAACCTAACTTCGTAAGCACCCACGCACCGAGCACGGTCAATTCAACTGCAAAAATCACCCGAGCACCCCCTACGATAAATCGAAAAGTGATCCTAAGCGGGGAACCCCTTCCGTTTGTTCTCTTTCTACCCGACATCGTATCATCAGGCAGCCTGTAGAGAGGTCTCAAGAACAATATCCAGCAGAATCGTTTCGATCGGGATATTCTCCGATATGCAAAAGATATAAATCCTCTTTTTCATTCTGCGCGTTGTCTGATGATTGGTCAAAATCCTCTTCAAACTCTCCGTCTCGATTCGGTCTCCGGAACAACGACGACGCCGACAACAACCATTCGGGGTTCTCCGCGTCCCGGCCGTATGCGAGGATATCGCGGCTCTTGTCGCTCCGATCGATGATGCCCTCGCTGTCGTCGTCGTTGTTGTTGTTGATGTTGTTGCGTTCGTTGTCGATCTGCCCGATGATTTTTCTTTTGATTTTAACAAAACTATTCGTTTCCTCTCCCTTGTGCCTCCCATCGATCGTTGATGACGATATCAACAGGTGAAATGGATGCAGGGGCTACTCCCGCTCCGGCTCATGCAGGTCCTCTGCTAAGTGTTCCAGGTACAGCCAAAGTGGGCGTCCAGAGTGTGCGCTTGGACACCTCCTAGATTTAGCTCGGTCGTTCGCTCGGTCGAGGAAGAGAGCGGCCTTTACGCGACCCGCAGCTAAAGCTAGTCCGATAAATGTTGCAATGAGCGTTCCCTTGCGTTCGCGTAGTGGTTGGATGACCCGCACCGGTTGACGTTCGAGTTTCCTCAAGTAGCTGCATTTCTTTGGCCCTGTAGATGTTTTATTGCGTAGTGCTGTTTTCAACGGAGGCTCCGATGCTGTCCTTCACTGAAAACTCAATGGAGACACCGTATTCCCGACCATGGTGTAGGCTGTCGGAAGACCTGTTTTGCTCTTACCGCATTGTTTCTAGTTTATTCATACGCATTCTTCTCGGAAGTGCCTTTCATCAAGCTCTAGTAGTGTATCGGTCGCTCTAGCTCTGATCCTACATAGAGAACTTCTACTGACTGTCTATTTCCGTACGAACAGGTGCATCTGTGCCGGCGTGCACTGACCAGTTGCACGGTAGTCCCAGCTCCAATTCACTGCATGCGGGGCAGCATGCCAACAACGACAGCTCTTCCCCCGATCTTCAACACAGGGTAACTATCTTCAGTGATTTGTGTGAAGACCATATTTCGAAAATCTGGTGACTGGACTGACAGAAATCTCGTGACGACTACTCTGGAGAACTATGTAGAGCGAGAAGAGGAACTAAAGGAACCACTGACTTTATTTTTCTAGTTGAATCAAGCTTTCATGCGCAAAGTTCCGTCAGGTTCCGAGGCTGTGAACATTTTAGTAGGGGAAGTGGACTTCCTCGAACGACCTATTATGGCGTTCGTCCGTCTCAACCAAGCCATGTCGTTGGGGGACCTCACGGAGGTTCCTGTGCCGACCAGATTCTTCTTCCTACTGCTCGGCCCCACCGGTTCGTGCTGTCTCTTCTTTGATGTCCCAATTTTCCAATCGATCGCAGATCAAAGAGTATGGGTACTTGATAAACTTCGCCACAATGATCTCTTCCCCTGAATCGACGAAAACAGGTGAGATGGTCCGCTACCATGAAGTAGGCCGCTCCATGGGCATTTTAATGACTGACGACGTGTTCCACGACGTGGCTTTCAAAGCCAAAAACCGAGACCATCTTTTGGTCGGTATCGATGAATTCCTCGACGCAGCCGTCGTGCTGCCCCCTGGTGCGTGGGACCCGGCCACCAGGATTGAACCTCCTCAACACGCACCCTCGCAAGAAGCGAGAAAGAAGCAGGAATCAGATCTCACTCCCAAACTCAATCCTGAAGAGGAAGAAGAGAGAGAACGTGAAGAGAGCGGTTTAAAACGGACCGGAAAGTGAGTTCGCGGTGAATCACATGAGAATCTCTAGCTCCTCGGGACCAGGGGCCCGCTGCCTGAGACCTAAGGAAACTTGCCCTGTGTCGGATGCCTCGTAGACCTAACCCGTCTTTCATGTTGCAGATTGTGGGGTGGTTTGATGAATGATATCCGCCGAAAGAAGCCCTGGTATATCTCAGACTTCACCGACGCGTTCTCGCTACAATCGATCGCGTCAATCTTCTTCTTGTATTTCGCCTGTTTGACTCCGATCATAACTTTCGGTGGTCTACTCGGCGCGGCGACAGATAATCGAATTGTAAGTTCGACACTCTGACCCGAGCCAAGGAGCACATTCTTTTTCCTCTCATTCTTGAACTTGCGGAGTGATGCGCCCTCCGAAACTTGACTACTTATCTGAAGATGATTCTAAAGATTTTAATACTTTCGGCAGGCCGCTATGGAATCTCTCATGTCGGGCGTGATCTGCGGAGTGGTTTACGGTCTCTTTGCTGGCCAACCACTGACCATTCTCGGATCGACCGGGCCCGTGCTTGTGTTCGAAACGATCATGTACGACTTCTGTGAAGATCACAACTTAGATTACCTTTCGTTGAGGTTCTGGGTCGGAATCTGGACAATGATAATTTTAATTTACTTGGTGAGTTCCCGAAAATGATCATGCTCTTCTTATGGAGTCTTTATGGAGCGATGTATCAATCCAATCGGATATGAATATCTACATATCGTCTCTCTCTCTCTCAGGTGGCATTGGATGCCAGCGCTCTGGTGTGCTACATCACGCGTTTCACTGAAGAAAACTTCGCCACTTTGATTTCGTTGATTTTCATAATCGAAGCATTTAAAAACGTGGGGAAAATCGGCAAAGACAGCCCATTGAATCGGGACCTATCGGTCCGCTTCAATTGCGAGTGCCGACCGGGAAATAGATCTTCTAACTTCAGCGTCGATTTCCTGCGGGATCTCAGCCAAAGCGACTGTCGACGCTACGGCGGCGATTGGGTTGGGGAGGGCTGCGCTTACGTACCCGACGTGTTCCTGCTGTCGGTGGTGCTTTTTGCAGCGACATTCCTCCTGGCAACGTCACTCAAGAGCTTCAAAGTCACCAACTATTTCCCAACATGGGTTCGAAGCATCGTTTCGGATTTCGCGGTCGTCATCGCTATCTCATCAGTGAGCTTCATCGACCTCGCCATCGGACTCGACACCCCAAAACTCGAAGTTCCTGAGAAGTTCCAACCCACATGGTCCGGCCGAGGATGGCTCATTCCGCCATTCAACAACAATCCATGGTGGACGGTCCTCTTAGCGATTCCGCCCGCCCTGTTGGCTTGCATCCTGATTTTCATGGATCAGCAAATCACAGCTGTCATCATCAACCGAAAAGAGTATAAACTCAAGAAAGGATGCGGCTACCATCTCGATCTCCTCGTGCTCGCCATCCTCATCGGAATCTGTTCCGTATTCGGTCTTCCCTGGTTCGTGGCCGCCACCGTTTTGGCCATGACCCACGTAAACTCCCTCAAAAGAGAGTCTGAGTCATCCGCTCCGGGAGAGAAACCACAGTTCCTTGGAGTCAGAGAACAGCGTGTCACCCAAATCGTGATTTTCATTCTGGTCGGTCTCTCGGTGTTCTTCACGAAATTGTTGAGACACATTCCTATGCCAGTGCTGTACGGCGTGTTCTTGTACATGGGGGTCAGCTCATTGCAAGGCTCGCAGCTCTTCTCGAGGATTCTCATCGTGTTCATGCCGCAAAAATACCAACCGGACTACATGTTCCTGCGGAGCGTTCCCACACTACGGGTGCACATGTTCACTTGCATCCAGGTCCTCTGCCTGGCATCGTTGTGGCTTGTGAAAAGCTACAAACAGACTTCGATTGGCTTCCCACTCATGCTTGTGGTCATGATCGGAATTCGAAAATGTCTCGACTTTATATTCACTAGAAAAGGTCAGTAGCCGTGTCGACGTTCGGATAGGTCGTGACTCGGTGAACTCATTCAATAATCATCATCGACTCCTGACGGGGGACATTCTTGCAACAGACGAGGAGACAAGCCCTTGAAGCCCGATTCTGAATTTCGTACTCTTCTCTCTCTTTTCAGAACTTAAAGTGTTGGACGACATCATGCCAGAACACAAGCGATTAGAGGAAGCCGCGAAGAATACATCTGACCCTAGTCTCGCCGGTGGGACCGGCGGCGGCGCCCTTGAAATGAAAGCCACGGGCGGAGGCCTCGGTGGCGTTTCAATTCAACTCGTGAACGGCGACATAATGGAATGCAAAGAACCCGTCCCCGGCATCAATATCAGCGAGCAGATCCAGAAAACAACGCTCTGGAAGTCGATAGACCAACAGAACGCGGTTGAGAAAGAAAAACCGATATCCATCATCGTGACCGAATCCAGCGGCGGAAAGTAAGTTCTCTCGTACCGGTCTCGAGGGCATCCGACCCGATGAATTTGTTCCACTAGGCAGCGATCTCGGTGCTCACGCTGATCATCGATGCTCCTTCCAGGAAGAAGAAACGAGGCTCAAAGAAAGACGCTGTCTCCGAAGAAGAGCGGAGACGGCTGTCGACAATGACAGAAGAAAACAACGATGAGGACGAAGATTGCGGGATAACAATCAATGTCCAGTCGGCCACCCCAATTCCTCAGAGTTCGCCCCAGGAGGCCAAGAAGTCCTTCAGCAGCCCGGAGTCTCCAAGAGGCTCTGAGACCACTGTATGACAATAAGTTCCTTCAACCACCTCCCTTGTCCTCCAAAACGAGCTCCTTTAACTCCTAACCCACAACTACAGCCACCACCTTGTTCTATCAAAATGAAGCAGAATGATTCCATCCTGACAGCGATGATAGCAAAACAGCAACAACAACAACGATAGCGAGAGCATCAACAGAAGCTACTCAGCATGTTGCAACACGAACAGATTTGTTCAACGCACTGCAATTCGAATCTCAGCGCAATCGCTATCTTTTCTCCTTTTCATGAAAGCCCAACTCGAGCCATGATATTTCATGGAAACATCCGTCGTCAAGACCCCTCAACTCCAGCTTTCAGTTACCTACATGCAACGTCTCATATGAGTGGAATACTTAGGAAACTCGATTACTAATGCTCATCGTTTGCTATGTTGGCCCTGTGAATTCTTAACGCAAGCGCTAATCCCACTCGCAGGATATAGCCACCTGAGCAATCATTCATGAACACTCGTTTTTCGATCCGATTGGTTCGGCGCTCAGAGTTGGAATTGATTGAGGAAGGCTCCAGTCCGTTTCGCAGCTGCGGCGGCCGCGGGAGCGATTTTCGGATCTCGAGTCGCCGACCAATCGGAGATCACCCGAGTATACACTTCGAATGTGGTGTAGGCTGGATTAGCATCGTTCATCTCGATGTTGGAGCTTCCTCATCGGTCATTTGTGAAGCATTTGACCAGTGTCTACTTGCTAGGGTAAAGCTCGTTTCTCGTCTTGTCATCGAGTGATAGTGGCCGTGTGATAAGCGTGGCTCCTCAATCCAGTGGTTAACGACTCTTGGAGAGAGCCAGGTCATTCAAGGAATAATTCTCGTACGACTCACACGGGGTGCGTACCCGCGCTTCAGAACCAGATAGAGCGTATGGGGTCGCGATATCACATGCGCTGCGAGTTTTAGTCGCGTTGAATGACAACATGCGCACTTCGAAGCAGTATTAGCGCGGCTTCTCGGTCTATGTGAGCCCGTATGCGACAGAGTCCGTACGCGTCGCGTTAATCAACTCCAGGAGTTCTCTAGTGCTCTCGGCTCAAAGTAAATAACCATTGATTATAATCGTAATTCTAAGGAATCTACTTGCCGGGAGATCGCCTAACTGATCGAATAATTGGATACGCGCAGCAACGGAAGTCGTCTGGCAAGGCCCCGATTTGACCTCCTGGCTCGCGAAGTCGCCTTGCGAATCTCGGGATCGTGCAGAAACAACAAGAGCAGCCTTCCCCTGAATCCTGTTAGTGCCTTGACAGTTGCAGGCGATAAATCCAATCACTGAGAACTCCAGATGCCGTTTTATATAGCCAAGAGTTAGCAACAAGAGGTTCTTTTCATACTACGTGACGATTGTAACAGTTATTACAGACAAAAACAACAGTGATATTATCGACATGAAATATTTTCCGTCGAATCAATCGATTGTAGATACACGATAGACGAACGAGAAGACTGGAACCAATCTCAGCAGCCGTTCAATCCATCTAGATATTTTCTCGCCGTCAGCCGCGGTCGGGTGACGACAGACGCACGACCAGATCGCGCCCCGAGAGTTGAATGTGGACTCATGATCGATATACGTTCCTCGATTCCGGAGGCGTGCCAACAAGCTGGAATTTTTGTGAAGCTGTCTGCAGGGAGGGAGTCCTTGTGAATCCATCTCGAGAGTTCTCGCAGAGCTATGCTTCTGTAGTTGGGTTGAGACAAGTTTTCCGAACTTCTTGCTTGTGTATCATAAAGATCAAGGTTTTGTAAAATGGATTAATTGGAAGCCTGACGCTTCGCCGCTCGACCCGAACCTCGCTCCAGACACCAAATCCTTTTTATGGCATTATTCTGATCGTGGTGACGGTGTGACTGTTTGATTTCTCGATGGTTGATTAATTTAGTGACCAGAGAGTTTGCCGAACAAATCGATCATTAATTTTTCTTTCCTTTTCCGTTTAGGTCGGTGATGAGCCCCCGGCAGTGTAGCGAATGGCATGCACCTCCATTCAGCCTTCACCTCGGCCCTAGTTCGCAGTCGACTGTTGATTGACGGCTTTGACAGGCATCACTGAGAACGCATTACCACCTTCACTCGCTCAAACGAAAATCATCACCACCACTGAGCGCCCTAATCCGATGGATCTGATAGATCTTAATCTAAATTCAAACCGAGTTGACAAGGAGACAGCCAAAAAGGAATGACGGGAAATCGGCTTGTCGAGTGGTGATGATGCGGGCGTCTCCCCTTTCGTTCGTCAGCGATCCGACGTTGCCGGAGAGCAGCGCAGGCATTCGAGCACGTTTTGGTTTCTGATCTTTGGAGTGATCGACTGGAGGTTGATTGATTGATTGACCGATTGATTACTTATCTGCAACTATTCATGTTCTGGACCGCATATGAAGCCGTGTATCCATGTAGCCTATAGACAGACTAGTCATTATGAGAGACGCTCAGTCAATGGTTTTGAAGTAATTTCGTTTCACCATTTCGGTCGTTGTTGATTGCACTTCCCTTGTACCCAACACTCTCAGTTCTCGAAGATGAGTTCTCACCGACTTACACAGAACGTTTCAAGGAACCTCGAGCTCTATTGACCTGGCCTCATAACACCGCTCACATCGTCGCTTGTTTGGCTAAATGGGACAAAGATGAAAAGGAGAATCAGCATTTGATGCAGGAGTCGGAAAGAATCCGGCTCGACTCCAAAAAGGGTTGGTGGCGGACGCAATCCACGCACCGTCCTGGATTTCGTTGCGAGACACAAGAGAGTGCCCCCTCGGGCTGACTCGGGATAACGGGAAGTCGATCGCTTCTATTGCACCCCGCAACAAACCTTCCTGAGCTGATACCAACTCGACTCGGAAGCATCGGCCATCGGCCTTTTGAGAGCGATTATCGTCTATTCGAGAGGTCCTCGAATAGATTCCGCAAAGCTGACCTCGTCGAACGAATCCACCACGCTGAAGCTCGCAATTCGAGAGCGAATACCTAAGCGAGGGCTAGCACATAGCAGAGCGACTCATTGATTTCTGGAAGAGAGAGGATCAGCAGAACAGCAGTCTGGTGCGGACTGTCATAGCCAAAGCCTCAACCTACCCATTCGCTTTCAACAGAGTTCGCTGCCTCTCGGAGGACCAAGAGGCAGAGTCTCTGCTTAGCAGCATGTCGTTGCGTTCTGGATTGAATTATCTACACGAAATTGACGATAATGATAAGGATAAAAGGAAGTAGGCGAAGAAGTTGATCCACGACGAAGACCACGAGAACGATCAAGTTAACTCGGTAGCTCGTACCAGTCTCGGTGGATCATCGAGAAGCGGAACGATGAGCGAACTCGTCGTCGTCTAGGATGTGGTTATAGTGCAATCGTCCTTCATAGGGCTCGTCGTTGTTGACTTTCCACCCGAGTGGAGAGGAAGCGATACATATGTGTTTATCGGCATTCGAAGATTTGAGTGAAATTTGAGCTGTAGCGTGGCAAGCTTGGGGGGCGCGCGGAAATTCGCGACATGATCCTGTCGAGTTATTGAGCGGTTCATGGTTTGCCCCACTCTTCAGTCGATCGGACGAGCTATTCTCAAAGGAAGCGATTGTAATTGTAGTCAAAGTCCCCCATACTAGGCTGGGTTGGCAGTTAATCAACTAAGAATCGATAGAAGCTCTGCGTCGAAGGATGAACTCCGCAGACAGAATATTTGTGCGGGATAGCAGACACAGGGAGAATCTGTTCAAGTCCGGGAATCAATCTCGTCTCGTCAGATAAAAGCGACGACCGTGCAGCGATAGAACTGTCGGAAAAAGAAGAAGCGCGCTGTAAAACAGAAACGAGGCGACAATTTTGTAAATAAGTGTAGATTTCTAATTTCTTCTAATTGCGAAGGGGGACATGGACAGCTGGTGTTTCCTATCGACCTCCTGAACCACGGAGAAATTCCAAAACATGAATCGCGACCAAATTCTCAACACGTTGGATGCCGACCAAGGGAGATATTTCTTCAAGGATTCTGAGCTCCGTTCGGAGAGAAAGAAGCGAAAAAGCCCACCTGTCCAAGAGGGGATGACACGATGCCAAAAACTCATTTTCGAGCTAGTGTCTCAGAATGCTCCGTGCTGCGTTCTGAGAATGAATATCCAACCCGAGTCTCGATCCGGCTCGCCCTGAATTTTTCGAGTCCGACTCCCGACTTATCGGCGGCGTGCGATCCACGTGAGTGTTAGGAAAGAATCGGAAAAAACTAATTTCTCACTAGAACACCAGACTATCTTACCCCGCTCTGAACGAGCCCTGGGAGATGTCGATGGAGGAGTTGAGACGAAAGGAACGTTTTCTTTCGAGACGAGCAATAGCCGTTATCAATTCTAAAAAATACATGTCCCGAGAGCGACGAAGGATGACGTCTCTCACTAACATAAAATGGCGATGCTTTCTCGCGAGCTTTCTTCCGGACTTTTGTCTAGACTTGAGATTTTAGTCCTTAGCATATTGGGTGGTGCCATCGACCGAAAATACAATGGTTGATCGATTAGTCTTCATGGTGTTCTTTCATATACTTCGAATACAGTTTTCCTCATGAGGCGGCCCATGTCCCGGGTTCCTCACCAGCCAAAAGCGATCGAAGATGGAAGACGAAAACGATCTTGAGAAGACGAATCAGATCTGGTCCCTATCCACATTACCGATACATCGGAATTGCGACCAGTTCGACAGCAATGGAGACGATGGTGATGGCAGCGTTATTTTTCCTTTAGAATTTTCGAAAAATTGTCGGACTTTGAGGGATCGACTTCGTTGCAAGAATAAGGATTATTATAACATCGAATAAAGCGAACGAATTCATTAGAAGACGTTAAAGTACAAACGGTTTGTTTTCAATTTCACTACATACTAGTTATGGTCGGATTGCAGAGAGAAATCTCGAAACTCGCGACGCTGTTGTATTTTATGGATGAGTTGGTTAATGGATTTCAGATGACTTTTCAAATGCATTCTCCTGATGAGTTCGCTCAAGTACACGTTTCATGTTTTGTTTACCTCGTGTAGAGTGGCGGGGAGAGAAGTCGAAATCTTTGCGCGCTCACCGTATGATTGAGTCAAAGTCATTCTCACGAACCGAATCGGGATTCGACAAATAATGATGGAGCCCCAACTCTGCGCAGCTGGTCCGCGCAAGGAAGCCTCCGACTTGGAAATGTTCGATTCCGTCAACTTGTCGGATCGAGGCTTCGGATTCATCAGTGCCGAAGGATCGAGACAATCCTGTATCCAGGATATGGTAGTTAGACGCAAGCGCCTTTATTGAGAGAACATGGCTCAAGATCCTGGATAGCATTCAAAGATCCTGGGTTTTTCAGAGAAGCTTCGAGAGGAGACCATTGTCGCGTTCTTCGGGACGCATATCGCCTTCGATTTTGAGATCCATCTGAATTTTCCCTGCGAGCGAAATGATTGAACGTAAGGGAGAGCCATCCTTTGTCTATGATGAGACCTCACGACCCCGATGAATCGGCCTCGGGCTAATTGAAAACGCTCACCCGAAATATGCATGCTGTCGTCGTCTCGTTTCGGAGCCATCCTGATCACGAGTACTGAGTTATGGCTGTACGATGTCGGAGGAGCCCTCGAAGTCGATGCGGTCTCCGTCGTCGTCGGCGCGGACGTTGCTTTCATCGAGCGGAGCCTTGAACCTTCGATCTGCAAATCACCATTCCATAACATATTTGGATTGGAATGACGTGTTTTCAATGACGAAGAATTCAATATTCCCCTCATGAGACAGTGATCAAGGACTGGGTACCAGTTTTTGAGACAGATGAGATGTTCGAATGCTCTCGGCGATTCTAGTGATGATTTCTATCTTTCTCGTATCGTTGACGCCCGGCTCGAAGAAACCGTCTCGGCTCTCGGATAACTCGCGAAGCTCCTCCGATGTCAGCTTCTCCCCGGTCACCAAGGGTCGAACCTTTGAAGGAAAACTCTCCTTCGTGAGGAAACTGAAGCAGTCGTGAAACCGAGCCGAAACCCCTCAGTCGCAGACATAAACCGACAATCCATGATTCGGGAGACCAACTGACCAGGAGATAGATGTTCCGGAGTCGATGCAACTTCATTTCGACTGTTTCTCTTGGGAGTTCTTGAGGATTCGTCGCATGGTGGGATCTCAAGAACACCGGGGGGTAGCTGAAGAAGATTTTCACCACTTATATTCTGCGGCTCCGAGAATGTGAGGGTGGTGAGTAAGGAAATTCGCGAGAACACGCTCAGAATCACCTATTCCGGATCTCGTTGTGGTTTAGCTCGCTGTAGCGGCCAAGTGGGAACCTGTTGCGCAGGAGCGTCGAAATCCGTTGAGCGAAAGCGTTCTGGATTTGGGATCGATTTCAAATGAAAGTTTCAGTTTCGTAGCAATAGTTTACGGCTGGTCAGGCTCGGAGATCTACTGAAGTTCAGCTCCACTACCTTGCCATCCTCTGTGATCTTCGGGTCGAAGAGTCCTACGTCGTAATTGAATTTCGCCAGCTGATCATGAGTCAGCGGGGTAAAGTTGGTAATGGCGCCCAGGATTAAGAAGAGGTTCCGCAGTCTAGCGATTCTAGTTTCATGGGAAGTCATGTTCGAGGTTCCCCATGAGCTACGTTCATGCATTGTGTTGAGGATTCCTGTTGTTCGTGATGAGAGTCGAGATTGAGGAGAAATGAAATACCATCAAAGACTAGACTCCACGTCGGTTACAGCTCCGAGGGCTACAGACCTTTGATTTGTGACAGGATCGTGCGCAACTTTATGCGTTCCTTCTCCATTTCCAAGAGTTTGGCCTGGAGTTTACTCCTCTCATCGAATAGACTTTGCACTGGATTCGTGAAGGGAACTTTGCAAAGCCGAGTCTCCCGCAGGTTTGTCAGAGATCGATTGATCCCGAAATCTTGGAGGTACATCCATCACGGAGCGGAGAAATAATTCGATAGATAAAAACTCACAGAAGGGCGGCGAATGTCTCAAGACGCTTGGCCAGCCGACCATTTCCCGCAGTCTGTTGATGTAATCGACTTCGCTGCCTCTCACGGAAGTGCTTCCGTCGTCGGACTGAAGGTCGAATTTAATTAGTAGCTCCCCTCAGTCGATCCACCGCAAGGTCCACAAGATCGACCCGGAGAAATAAGCTAGCCACTGTCCCCGAGCTCCGCTCTCGCCGTCGACAACGACCCGAGATTCGAAGCATGTCGTCGCTCGGCTCCGAGTGAGAATCTCGTCAAGAATGCGCCTCTACTTCCGCTCGGAGAACTTTTCCAGACTCCCGAACTCACAGGGATCGCCCCCGCGAGGGACGGTTGATTTGCGTCTATCACGCCACGCCAATAGAGAAATACTAGAATTTAGATTGCTGATTCGTGGCAATAATTGATTACCTGATTGAATTCATCGTCGCCGTCACTCTGATTTTCGTCATCGTCAGCCCTGGACGGATAGGGCAGGCGGGGACCCCCTCTGCTTCCTTGAGGGAGAAATTTGATCGAACATCGCTTAGAAGATCTCACGCGGGACGAAGCCTTTGCGTTCTCCCACCAACCTTACCTGGACCTGATTCCGATTTAACAACCACTGGACTCTCGTCCGGATTTTTCGGTGAGACATCCAGGATATGATTCGTCAGGGAAGGGGAGATCCTCGGGAGAACTGTCGAGGCCCTAAGAGAAGGGCCCGATTCCTCGCCGTCTCGCTGGTCGCTAAAAAGAACAGAAGACCGATTTCGCGGAGCTCCACGGCGGGATAATCGCACAGTCTTCCACTCCTGGCCCTGTGGTGGCTTACGAGTGGTGCTACGTATATCGAGCGATTGCACTGGACAAACCTGTTCAGGACGGTCGTTCCGGTATCCGCGTCATCCTCCGAGGATTCGAAACCGTTCGAGTAATCCGTCGCGGAATCGTCTCCACCGGTCCCGTCCTCATCCGATGCGGATGCCGATTGTTCTTCGGGGCTATCTCGATACTGACACGATGCTCCGCTCACGAAGGCTGAATTCGGGCGAATCTATTGGTTCGAAGCTACGAGGCGGGGATCGAGCTCCACAAAAATATTCGGGACGTTCATAAAGTTTCGTTACCTATCACTATACAGAGTGAGAGAACTGTTGAATAGAGCGACTTCATGCTCTCGCCCGAACAACCTCGCGGCATCTGAAGGCCGATGAAGTAAGCGGCTTTTATACGAGGGCTCCATGCACAGCTGATTCAACAAGACCTTGTTTGGAATGGGTAATTTAGAAGGAAAACCCGCGCGCATTGATCAAAGATGTGTGCTCAAGCCGCGCATGGAGACTCTAGGAGAATCGCCACAGCAGGCGCTGCATGATGGTTGTCAAGACGATTGCGAGATCGCCAGCTTGCTTCCCTGCAAACAATACTCTCCTTACGGAATCGCGAGTGCCTGGTAAAATAGAAATTTATCGATGGATTCGGAGAGATCGATAGCGAAGTAGTTCCCCGGCGGCGAGAAACGCAGTCACTTAATCCATTCGACGCAATTATGCAAATTCGAGTAAGCCCGCAAAGACAGGGCTTCTGCGATTTCGGATACCTTCGCTGCCTCTGAAGAGAGAGAGGAAGGAATACTAACCGTAAGTATTCCAGTACACGCCCCTCTCCAATAGTAGCCCGTCTCCAATACAAGACTCTCGGCGGGATTCTCGAGTCGAATAGAAGTCCGTCTCTAATCGAAGCCCATCTCCAATAGTAGCCCGTCTTCGTCAGGAGCCCCTTAAGGGAATCGAACCAGATTTCCGCGAAGCTCTGCTCCAGAACATACCTCGAGTTTCAGAAGTCACCAGAAATCCAGCTTTCTGAAGTCTCCTCTTCCTAATCACCGTCATTGCACAACCGCGCGTAGAATTATGAGGAGCTCCCCTGTAATAGAAGCCCCTCTCCAAAAGAAGCCCCTCTCCAAAAGAAGCCCCTCTCCAAAAGAAGCCCATCTCCAATAGAAGCCCCCCTGCGAAGGGGTTTGAAATAATAGAAGCCCGGGCTCGTATTGGAATATTTACGGTATATCTGAGAGCCTGATAGGAAAGTCATACTTTCGGAGTAACCGAAACGCACGAAGAATGAGCGTTCCGCGAATGTGGGACAAAAGAGATCTCTTTTTCGAAAGCTTATATTTATTTAATTTGAGCAACTTCACGGCGACCATGTACTTCTCCATCAGGTTCGCTTGCATGTTGTAACCTCTCACGAAGAGCCGGACTGGTACATAACGACCCCGGGGGACGTCAGGAACTTCACGGTATGAGGACGAGCATCTTAGGCACGAGTGTCATTTCCATTCCGGAGGTTTCCTATGCTGGATGTGATAAGCGATATTGGCGACCCGTCCACAACCTTGGATTCACTACGTTCGCCCACTCAGAGCACCGGAAAGCTGCTGGAGCGGAACGCATCAGGATTGACTACCAAAATTTAATGCTCAAGGAACCACACCTTGCGCGTATTGCAAGAAGCCCTGGTCACGCAGTCTATGGGTTTCCAGCGTAGGTTGAAACACAAGTGGATCTCCAGCAACACGTCAAAATCTCGCATCTGACCACGGCAGACGACTTCGATTTTTTTCGGGAAGAGTTCCCCCAGGCCCGCTCGTATTTCATCGGAAGGAATCGGCGCAGAGTTGTTGGGTCGCACAGCCTCCCATCCGTGTAGAGAATAGTAGTTTTTGTAGAGATGAATTGCTCGTTCGAAGTAGCTGTTGGCATCTTCGATACCGTAGATTCTATCCACTGCACAAGATCCGTATTCGGAGAGCTGATTGCGCCAAAACTCCATGTCTCCTTCGTACGTCAGGCTTGGCCAATGAGCCTTCAGTGAGAGCCCGGAACGTTTCATACCCCTTGCGTCGAAATTCACATCCGAGTTACAATATGTAGGACCTTCGCTTCCTGCAGAAAAAAGAGACTATGTAGTAGAAAGGACGTGTGAAGCGTGTTCGGGCGAAGGATAAAAAGGCAAGAGAGCGTCGTAAGCTTAAGTGCAATCGATATTCACCATTTGCGAGAGCAGGTCGTAGCTTGTGAATCGTAAGCGGAAGGATAGTCCAATTAGCTCTCGTCGGCACGCATTCCGGGTTCTTCAGGCAGAATCCACCGTGTGATCTCAGACTGAGTACGAAGGAGTCGAATGGCGGGAATGGTGCGCTACTCGTATCAGTGGATACTTGCTTCGCAATCCGTTTGTCGGCAGTCAGAAGGAACGCGATGATCCAGAAAATTAAACGCCTGACTATTGCCAGCATTCTCCTGGCAAATCTGCGAGGGAATCGCCGACTCTGCTCAAGTGGAGGAGAAGAGACACATAGTAGGCACGGAGATTTTCTAGTTTGAGAATCATCACGAAGCGGGAGATTCTGGGACCGTGATTTTCACACAGATTCTGATGCTGAATACCTCACCGATTCCAGCTCTCGTTTGGGAAACGTTAGCCCGACGTCTGAGTCTTGAGAGAATGCATATCGGTCTTTGGCTGCGTCTCGATCACCACAGATCGCTGAGAGCTGACCGCTACGGGGTTTCCCAATAGGAACAGTTCATGTACTGTCGGTCAGGCTCAGCCGGAATCTTATCAAGCGTGAAATGGGTCGAGGGCGGCTGAGATTCCGACTTTCTCGACTGACGATTCTTGTGGCCCATTCGATGACTTAACTTGGGAACGTTCGGAGGCCGAACGAATGCTGAAGTTGGCGCCGGCGCCGCAAGGAAAATACACGGGAAAAGAGGCGACGAGGCTTCTGTGCTGTCAGAAGCGGGTAAGGAATAATTAATCCCCCTGAAGGAGGAGATCGCGATGTCTATCTGTCCACGAATCAGTTTTTGGCGCTTTACTTGTCCATACAGACTTCGAATTCCTTTCAATCGATGCCCAATCATCTCGAAGAGTTCAAAATATAATCTCCAAGCTGCTCAGAAGCATGCTTCTCGCTAGCCCTACGTGTTTCTCTTTTTATCGTTATTTTCTGCGAATCATTCTTCTTATTCCGTCTGCAGCACACAGAGTTAGATGGTGAGGAAAGAGCTACTTCCGAGCTCAGGCCGCATTGACGGATGGGAAAACAGAAATAAGGCAGCGACCCAGTCTAATCCTCCAGATTCTGAGAACTCACGTCGTCAATCATTCGGTGTCGTACCATCTCACAGGGTCGTAGCCTGCTGAATTCTCGGGAAGGAGGGGGCGGAGCCGCTGTTTCAGTTGAGATCAAACTGCTCGAACAAATTTTATTTACATTTCGACACAGAAAAAGTTATGTACAAGTTCTCGGCGCGCGATCAAGACGCGTGTGTCTATGCTGTGCTACCTCCCTTCCCCATCAACGCTGAAATGAGAGTCACGCGTCTCCCGGGCAGCATGGAGACACCAAATGTCAATTTTCGGGACCGAGACAGCTACGTTGAGCTCTGCCTGTAATTCTTAGTTTCAAGAATCTTCTTGCCGCACATGGCACAGATCCCTTTCTTGTAAGCACAGCCCTGACAGTAATGAGATCCGATCTGATGGACCTGCAAGAAATAACTTGAATGGGTGGACCCTGCAGCCGATGTGCTCATCATAATCGGCGAATGTCGTATCTCTTAATGCTGCCTTAGCGCGATCGTGTGGAGCGCCGCGACTTGAGTTCGTCTGGCTGTAGCATTTACCGCATGGAGCTTGACAGAGATTCAAATCCTTCATGAACGTACCTTGGTGCGACAGATCCGACAGATGTTGAATGTCGTAGTGTAGGGATTGAATTTGTTCTTTTTCTGTGACAGCAATTTGTTTTCGTTGATTTTCCGACCTCCTTCGTTTGTGTTGGATGCTCCAGCTTTCCAGGGATCCGGCGTGCAGACTTTACCTAGTTTCTTCTCACACTTCTCGCACACCATCTCGCAGCGCGGAGTCTAATTCTGCCACTTTTCGCGACTCGATCCCAGATATTCGAACGGAGAACGAACGCGTAGCATGCTTAATGCTCGGAAGGGGATCCTAAATGTCGGAGCCGTACGCGCTGAATCAACATACCCCCCTTCCATCATCTCCGCCCCCTCCATTCGTAAGACATCTCTCAGACGTCGGGGCGCTTAATCGCGCTACAAAATAATTATATCTGTAATACGGGTTAATCCTTACGAAGCTATACGCCGAATAATTCTTCGCATCGCGAGTCTCTCGAATTTGAAACAGTCCGATTCTAGACTTTATCGGGATGAGGTTTTTGCTGATGTCCCTCCGAAGATATCATCATCGTGCTGTCATCTCGAGAGGGTTTGTGGAGCTTGCCCCTAGAAATGATTGCGCCTCTTTTTAAGACCCGTAAGAGAACCATTCTGGGTTGAAATGCCCGGAACGGAAGACTCGCGGGAGCAGCGGCTCTCACCGTGATTTGCAGTGGCGTAGCGTGAGATTGGCATTCGCTACCTCAGGCAGTCAAACAAGTCCTGCTTCTCGGACTGTGAGTCTGAAAGCGCGATATTCCAGAAGTGGAAGTTGAGACTCAAGACAAGTACCCGAGGCTCCATCGAAAGTTATGGAATGGTGTAGTGAAAAATCCGGGCTTAGCCTGGAGATCCGAGTCCTGGAGGGGGATTCAGCGGGTTCTGATGTGAGAGAGGACTTCCAAGGTCAGAGCTCCGCCTGACCAGAGGGTCACACTCCGAAGCCCACCGAGACCGGACGAGATTGTATAAAGCCTTCGACGGAATGCCATCCACTCGATTTTGTATTTCCGGTACCGTCAAGGAAGCCAGCTGGAGAGGTCAGGTCAATGATCCAGGTTCGAGCAGATTGCGTTCCGTTTGCGAGGATGAGGTACGGTCAGGAAATCTCCCAGAGCCACAATGAGCCGGCTCACCTGCGGCGGCAGTGGACCCCATGATTAGCTCGAGAGCGAAAGATGAATTCATCGGGAGCCAATTGCCTCCGAAATCTAATTTGGCTCCGGGTCACTCGTACCGTCGATCGAAACCTGTACAGAACTCATCGATTTCAACGAATAGACCTGTCTGAGGCATCGAGAGAAGCAATCAACCGCCGCTATTTGTCCTCGCGGAATTCCCGTGCTCCCTCGTTAGGATTCGATCTTCGAGACCACAATTACTCCTGCGTCGATTGATCCTGGACATTCGAAATGGGGCGCTGGAACGGGACGCATCTGCGGTTCGTGAGCCCGCGGTCGGTAAGTCATCCTCATTTACCGAAGTCGCGGATAGGGGTGACTCGCAGGTGCTGACCCTACCTGGATTTTCTTGAGCTATTCACTCCATCGGCACCCTGAGATGCCACGATGTTCCGACAAATACTTTTCAGTTTCCCCCTTTCCTTACGCGCCTCGTCGATCGCGATGGCCGGATCACGCTGTACGGCATTTTCGGCTCCCTTATGTCCAACCTCACGAGCGTGATGGGTATCACGTATGAAGTCACCGTGACCTCAGATGGGGAATACGGACTGTCCCATTCTGAACCAGATAAGTTCACTGGCATGCTTAGATCGGTGAGTTTCTTCTTGTTATTCTCTTGCTTACGGTATCGCGGATAAAGTTTCTGCGTGGAAGTTTCCGAATCGATTCCCTCTAAGACGTTCGATCTCGAAAGCTTCTCCGGAACGAGGCCGACGTTGCCGTCTCGGGTTTCTTCCCCGACCCCAATATATTCAAGCATCTGCGATACGTCCCTTACACCCATCAGACCTGGACGGTCATGTGGACAGGTTTGTCCAGAAGTCGATATATACACTTATCCTGCGATTCTGCGGAAAAATCAAGGAAGAATGCCCTTCTAATCATCTGACGATGTTGTATGGACTGCCTCTTGACGGAATCACAGAGAGGCGCCCGGAGTGAATCCATTTGCCTAGTCGCTGAATCAAGTTTCCTATCCGAAGGTATGAGGACGGCTTTTGAGACCACTCCCACCCCCTACGTCAAAGCCTTCGAAGCGCCAGTCTGGCTTCTTCTCTCGCTTTCGATTATTGTCTTGACGTTGTTCCATTCCCTGGAGGCCTTCGTCCTCCGCCAGCAGAGACTGGGTGTCAGGGAGATCTTCGAGAATTTCCTCAGGGTTTCTCAATCCTTGCTACAAGAAGCTTCGAAAAATCGGTAATTAGGGTTACGGCTGATGCTGACAAGCTTGCGTGGATCCCGGACGCGTGTTGCTTGGAGGATGTGCCTGAGTCTTGCATGAGGATTACAGGTATTCTGGCACAGATCGGATCCTGGGAGGGGCTTGGATGTTGGCCACTTACGTTCTGATGCAATATTTCACCGGCGACTTGAAAGCGAATTCAGTTCTCCAATCTCCGACCCTCCGAATAAACACCGTCGAAGACGTCTACGCGCATCGAAAAACGCACAGGGTGAGTTGTACGATGCCGGACTTCGAGGGCGGGGAAGTAGCCAAGACTTCCGAATGACCTGCTCCTCTCGCAGTTGATGTACCCGATACAAACGCCAGTCGAGGACGATCTCCGAGCCTTCAAGGGAGAATTGTTGGAGAAAATGGAAATTGTGTTGCGCGAAGGAGTACCACTGAGAGTTGAACAGTATTTCAAACCGGAAGACCTCATGCTTTTGGTTGAAGAAAAGGCAGTTCTCTCTGGCGAAGAATGGGGCACCAGCTACGCCATAAGTCATTTTTGTAAAACGACCGACAAATTTTACTACAAATCAGATGAAGGCTTTCCACGACATTATTTCGCCATGGTCATGGGTGGGTTGACTGAAATGAACATCCTGCCCATGTATGAGGGAACGTAGCAAATCATCGCGTCGTCCCCGACGATCAGTGGAAAGATTCTGAAGTTCACCCTTTCCTGTCGCAGCGTCTCATCTTGAGAAAGATCTGACCGATGAGATCAATCGTCGAATTCTTATCATCACCTCCATGGGAGTCCCCTTCGTCTCATCCAGGGACGTTCACCCTGGTGGCTGGAGTTGTGTGGTGACCGATAGAAACAACGTTTTTGCTGCTGACCCTCTCGGGTTCGCCGATATGCTCTTCACCCTGATGTCGCATCTCGTCGCCTTGTCGATGTGCGTCGCAGTACTAGCCGCGGAAATATGCCATTCGATGTATTCAAATTGGAAGCTGGGTTTCAGCAAAATTATATATCCCCGAGAATGAGATGAGAGTCATCGAAAGCGATCTGGAAAACCTGTATCGTCTGGAGGTCATGGGAGAAAGGGACTCTCCGCTGATCGATCCGAAGGGCCTTGATGGTAAGTTCAGACTGAAGCTTCCAAAGACGCGAATTTTCGGGGGGAATCCAAGCATCCTCATCAGTACACGGTGAGCAAGCACAGGATGAAAGTCTAAACGTCGTAGGTTCTCTTGCGTGTACCGTACGTACCTCCTTCAGCATGAATTGGAGCCCGGCTTCCGAGACCCGAGTTCAGATTTGCCTCCCGAAGATTTAGGCGGAGGGGACTGTATCTGGGGCTGAGATGTGTGATCCAATGCGTCAAGTAACCCAAGCCTGATACTTTCTTGGAAGATCCCATTGGGTGACTCCCGGTCAAGCGTATCTGTAATCTGTGAACGTGCGTTCACAGAAAATGCTATGCCTTCCATAGCCTCACGATAGTCGGTCTTCTCGTTTCGCCTCTGCCCTCCCAGTGAAAGCTCTGTCGTTCATTGTGTTGAGAATAACGTCGATATGGAAAATATAGCACGATTTGGCATGACGACGCGACCCTCGGAGACAGATTTCCAGATGTACTTTTCGGCGCGGTGTGTTCGGTGGGACGAGAATCTGCAGATTCATCATCCTCCGCTCCGAATACAAGTGAATGGCTTTCTGCCCAATCATAGTGGGCGTTCTCCTTCGACTTCTCTCGAAAGATTCGACGACTCAGGCAGAGGGCTACGCCTCGACACGGTTGATTCTGTGTAAGGCGCAGATAAATCTCCCTGAGATCTGGATAATGAAAAGATTGAGAGAGGAATTGCGGCTGATAAAAAATTGAGGGAAGAGTGGAAGAATCCCTTCGTCGCGAGAAGAATCGGCGAGGACCCTGTTCCCGTTTGGGGATACGCTTATTTCTGTGTATCTCAACCGACGAATCATTAGTAACAGGAATGAGAGGGTCGAGATGGAAATTGATTCGTGAAATCCCCTCTCCGTTTAGTAAATCCGGCTGTGATGACTTCGAAAAACGTGTTTATCGGAAGCTTCAGGAGCTCCGTTCGGAGAGATACCAATAAATCACTGTCTCACCTCGAACGTCGGACGTGTTATTGGTGAGGGATTCTCGAATCACATTTCATTCTTGACGTGGGCTTGACATCGTCAGCCTTGGGAGCGGGTATGTAAAAACCTGCTCGGTTCGAGGAGCGAGTACCAGACGCGAGCCGACATCGAGTCAGTAAGGAACCGCTCTAAGAGATTCGGAAATGAAGCCGGCTCCAATCGTCCTAATCCTGGCGTGCGGCTTCGCCGCTGCCTCTGACGTTCCAAATGCTTGTTCCGAAGATCTGACTCAAAATCTAGTGAATGATCCTGTTTTCAAACAATGCGATGGGATGCTCGTCAACTACTTCATCCAACACCATGGCCTGACCCGTGACAACATCCGCTACGTGACTGGCAAGACCACGGTAAGTTCCGGTGGCTACGCAGATCATCGGCGGGAGAACATCTCATTCAATATTTCACTCTATTAGTATCCGACCGGCGGAGAACGTTTCTCAATCGAGGTCGCCGTCTGAGCTTCGTTATATTTTCGATGCCACTTATTGATGTTTCTCTGCCAGGCTTCGTCGACGGGCTCCCAAATTCTATCTGAAGATAAGAAATCCGGGAAATGCGTTGTCGCCGTTGTTGAAAGCGTTCCACGGAGCCCTCCCAGAATCAGTTCCCTATGCACCGTGCCGCTGCCGTGCCCGGGGAGCTCTGCGTACACTGAATGCTGAGCATCTCGAACGGAGCCGTTCCTGAGCTTTTCCCGAGAAATCATTCCCGTCATCATGGTGGTGGAGACAGGACCATTGATAGTGAGCCTCAAAACGGTGGTTGAGACACTTCGCCCCCTGAGGAGCAAGCATGACCTCACCGGACCGTCGAATAGCCCGTAGATTTTCTCATCGGAGATTAGGATCACTTGACGTTTGGAATAATTACGAGAAAACAATACGGAATGGCCTCTTGGACGATCATCTCAATGCGAATATTTATTTTTCGATCCCCATAGGCAGGGGATGGACACTCAGAAGAGGCAGACTCTCGCTGTTTGATACAGTATTATGAACAGGAACATTCTCAGAGAATATGTACAGTCTCGTGCGAGCGAGTGGGATACTTTGAGTTCAATCCATGTAACTAGAACTGAGCTTTGTTTTAAGCGGCGCGATGGGTGTGTCTATATCGGGCAGTTCTCCCGCAGTTACTTTCAGTTGAGACGCGGCGTGACTCAGCTGAAGGGCGGCTTCTGGATGTTGAGTACCTGGCAGGAGTGTGCATTCGCGCTCCAGGATCGAGGACATTGTTTCGAGCAAATCGTAGAATCCGTAGGATATGGCAGCTCTCCGTAAGCGATTCAACTCCTGGAAAACGTCATACAACCTCGTAGAAGATATTCGCTCATATCAATGACGATACGGTTCGACCGGATTCAGAAACCGCCCTATAAGCCTCCTTCGAGCGATCTGTACGCGGAGATGAACTCACTTTGTAAAAAGCGGACATCTTCTCAGGTAGTTTTCGGGCGTGCCGGAGAATCTTCTGAATGTCCGCTTGTAAGCCTGTAGTTCTTATCCATACGACGGAATTCATCGAGTAGCTCGGCTTCTCCGCGGGCTTGATAGGCAGTTTCAGCTTCTCCCAAGAAGACGGCGCCTGGCGAGGGGAAGAGAAATGAATTTCGCTCCGTTCTTCCGACTAGTGGTTATACCAGGGCATATCGATACAGATGTCAGCGCAGAGCTCACCTCGATCATGTTGCTCCCTAGGGAGCTCACCGACGTCCACCAGGGCACGGAGCCCTCCCCGGGTTCGAAGGTGGACAGCATCAGGTTCGATTTCTTCTTACTGTCCGCCCACGAGTACAACATTCCGTACCATGAAGCTCTGAGAATAATCGAAACTAGGGGTCAGATCACCGATCGAAAACCTAATCAATTGCGTCCCAATTGAAGTTTTCGATGTTCAACCGCCATCGAGGTTTCATAGAAACGAATCACTTAGGTGGACAGCTCATATGCCCAGTCTTCATACCCGAGCTTGCACACCGCGACCATCGATTCGACTTTCAGAGATCCATGGAGCAAAACGCAAAATGAGGGCTGTTTCCCGTCGTCAGCAGCTTCATCATCCATTCCGCCGTCTTCTATCCGCAGCTGAGCATTCTCCGGCGTCGGAGAGGTCTCTGTTTTCTCACATTGCTCAACGTTATCTGAGGAAGAATTAGAGGAGATCTCCGGCTTATGGCCTGATGCATGTCGGTCCTTCAACGAGAAAACCCGGTGGCCTGCCGGAATTCGTGTCGAATAGGATAGACTGAGAAACCTACCAGGCGGCGAACGTTGGGGAAGCGCACCGGATTGATCCGGTTTCGGCGCTGGTATCGGTAGGACCAGGTGACGGGAGACCGTAGCTGGATGAGCGACATCGGGTATGCTCATAAATCCGCAAATTTCGATTGTGTCCGACATCTTTACGGTTATCTGCTCGAAGTCGTAAACCCTTTTGATCTGCGGGTCGGGCGGAGGGCAGAGCGTGACATGGGATTCGAGGTGACCGCAAACCAGACGCCCCTGCCACGATACATAAGACGATTCTCCAATCGATACAAACGCCTGGAAGATTCGAAGAGAAGTGAGAACGAGCCCTCGGACCAAAGGACATCGACGCGGTCCGAAGTTATTTGTTCAGCAGCTGAGATCTTGCCTGATTGACGCTTTTTAGGCTGAGGCCTCCCTCGGGGAGAACTATAGCGCCGTTCCCGGTAGAGTCGATCAGTTTCTGGTAGAATGGGAGACTGGCTTTCAGCTGAGGGCTGCCGGGCTCGCACAGAGGGACGATGTGAAGTTTGCAAGGGAACGGGAACAGGGGTGAATTCAGCTGAGGGAGACACCGAGGCGTGCACCCATCGGTGACTAGAACAATCTGCAAGAAGGATCCAATTTCGTCATCGTCTCGAACCCTTCTCAGAAAGGACCGCAGGGCGTCGCGTCACATGGAGCAGGCCGACACATATCGTGATCCTGGACTGAAGATGAGACCATCGTACCTGACAGCTGCAGGATGCACCCCATTCCTGGAGGACGGCGTGTTTGGCGCCTTCAATGCCAACTTCGATGTTGGTCTTATCGTAGAATTGCAAGCGCGTCAAACGATCGCGCAAGGCGTCGAAGTCTCTCGTGAATGGCTCAACGACCTCCCATAATGATGAAAATACAACCTGAGGGGAAAAAACTCGTTAGCTCGTTCCAGTGGGTCCCTTGGAAATGGGTAGAGTCCAACATTTTCTTCGCCTCTCAACTCCTAGACGCTCAAGGACTGCCTCATCTGCAGTTCGATCTTTCACAATAGAGGTCTCTCCCTGTATTTAAGAAGGGTTGTTCCGGTTGTTCCCAATGACTGTTGAGTGACTGACTGAGATGAAAATACAACAGCGTCGTCCAGTTGGGCAGCGTTCTTATTCGCGGTACTTCCGGAAAGACTCCGCGATCCGGAGCAGAGAATGAGAGCGAGAAGAGCTTCCGACTCTCTCGGCCATCATGTGGAGCTTTTGGCCCTTCTATGCGCTAAGCTCGACGAGATGCGACTCAAGTTTCAGCAGCTTGTCATTTCCGCAATGTGGACCAGCTCCTGCGCAGCGCGGAAAATTCATTCATGATCCCGCTTAGTGAATAATTGCATCCCTGGGAGTCACCCTATCGATTATGCATGACTCCACTCGAGAAAGAATTGGAAGAAACTGACATCAGCTTGTCAGCTGTTTTCAGTCACGGACAGCAGAGTTCTGATTTATCGGCGATCATCATCGTTCCTAATATATGATCGGAGACGAATAATTTCACGCAAGCTTTCGAAACAGCTGATATACGGTCTCAGAGAAATTACAGAGCATGGTCCTTTGTTAAGACGGGAAACGTCCCTGACTGAAGAAAACGCTCAATGCTGCCAACACCCAGAAGTTTATCGTCCGCGGAAGCTAAGCATGGAGCCTTGCTCTTGTGCCGAAGGAACTCCCCTCTCATAACGAACGAAAATTCACTTATAACTAGCGCGATTGCGTATCTCTGATTTACGAATAAAACTAGGCAGGTCTGTTTCGACTGGCTTCTCGTCGAGGGAGCACGGAAAGAAACGGCAAACAGGTCTCATGCTCCATGCGGTCCCGGAAGTACTGGTAAATCACAAAGACGAGGGTCACTATGAGGAGACCCCGAAAACCTTGGAGCGTTTCCAGACTGCGAGAAGAGGAGCTGGAACGAGCAATCCCCCTCGCGCAGAAGCGTAAAAAACTTCGTGCCATCCGGCCGGAGATGGCATAAATCGGCACTTCATCTTCTGAGATTTCCCCGAATTCGATCGAGCGCCTCGTCCAGCAAGTCATATCGGTCGCCAGATAATTAGATTGAGCCAGAATGGCTGACAATAACCAACTGCGCTCGTGATGACTTCGAAGCGTCTACTCAAGAGGCTCTCTAGATTGTGAAAATAAAGTTGGACACAATCTCGCGGACTTCCAGCACATATATCAATTCTATTTCCCCGTTTAGACGATTATGAGCGTGCTGTCTTTTACGGAGAAATATGATATCCGCGCTTTATGCCCCCGTCGAAAACACAATTATTCATCCTCCAATCCTAAGACTCGAGAGCGCCACTCCGTGATGCTTGCAGGAAATGAATTTAGGAGGATTCCCATGACGGCGAATTTGTCTGTCCCGCATCCGCACCCAGAATAAATAAAATCCTCGTTATTTCAGACAGGCTGAACGACGGCGATGTTTCGAGGAAGACCCACCACACAGAAACGTTGGAGCAGCTGTACCGCCAGGCCCAAGGCAAATCACCTCCAATCGTATCTTCAGCGGGAAAAAAAAGACAGAACAAGCAGATTCAGAGAAAGACTCCCTCCGAGAAAACGATGGCAAGAGACGGACGATAGATAGCTCCTTCATTCTCCCGAGGTCGCAGCGACAACAGATGCGCACCAGTTCACGCACCTCTCTAGATTTTTATTCCACTCATAATTATCAATGCACGCAACTCATCTAAAGATAATGCCCATCTGATTCTCCGGCAATCATTGTGGTCATCCTTCAGGGGAATTATATTATGCCGATTCGAGCCGGACAATCCGGGACTCAAGAAACGCGGCACCTACAAAACTCACCACTGAGCAGAACTCGAGTTTACAGTGTATCGCCATGTACTGCAGAAGATGATTGAGGCCTTCAGCTGCGAGATGCCGGATCTGCATCGGCTCGGCCCGGTCTTGGAGGGACACAGGTTTGCACATGGAGAGCGAGGCGTCGACGAGAAACACCGTCGGCATTTTGCATTCGTGTCCTCAGCCTCACCTAAAAAAATGAAAACATTTGTTTTTAGTCCATCCGCTATTCGGCGAGGCTCGGAGACACCTCCCAGGAGCCCCTATCAACTGCAGGAGAGCATTCCAGACTCGTGCTCGCTCCCACGACGATTTCTGAGCGCGTGCATCGGGATAATTTTCGGCTGAGAACGCTCTAAATGTTCAGTATCTTGATTCGGTGATTGGACAGAACAGAACTCGAAAAGGTCACAGGCTTGTCGAGCGGACCTCTAGCGGCCAGTAATTATGCCCGAACGAGTTTCACCAGTCTGACCTCGTCAACTACGAGACCAAGGTCCTGAACTTTAATGGGTATGTGACCAACTGGATCGTTTTCACAGTACACTTCTTGCTCAACTATCATGAATCTGTTTTAGAGGAAGTCCGTAGCGAACTCCAGACGCTACGGCCCGTTCTTTCCGGAAGGCGCGTTCGAAGAGGGAGTAATACCTCTCGGAGCAGGTGAATCATATCAAGCCCAGACCGTCGAGGCGACAGGTTGAGAGGCTTTCGAAAAAAAGTTGCAACGGGATCGACTCGCTCTTATTCCTGAGGTCGCCGTCCTCGCTCAAAATTAAACATGAATCGAGGTCTCGGCTCGAGTGTCCCTCGAAGTGATTCACTTGACCCCTCCGCGTTCAGGCGAGCAAACGACCAACAGACCATTGAGGTCGCCATTGTCGAGGTCGGAGACCGTAGGCTACAAGGTTGAAGCCTCGACCCACCAGGCGGGCTCACGAGATACAATTTGAATTAATAACGACGGCTAGCTTATCATGAAATGCGTTGCATCAGAGCGACATACATACGAGGATATATCGCTGGTGCAAGGTCGTCGTCTCGCTCACTCAAGTCATCTCGTTAGAGACGTGAACTTTTTTCTTTCGTCTAACACCGTCAGATCGAGGTCGGAGAAGAAGTTCGGCGGCTGGGGTTGAGCCCCTGCCCTCCTTCTCGTCCTCTCCTCTCGCTTCATTTCTTTCTTGCTCGTTCTCAGTTCGGCGTAGGTGACGACTGAGGTGACCTTCTAACCCCAATTGAAGACCAGTGCTTTCTCTCCACGCCGTGCTCTCGGTGAGAAGCACTTCGAGGGCCTCTCCGTCAGACGGCGACCTATTTCTAGCAGACGAGGAGTTGGCAGCAGAATACATCCACTCGCGGTGTCGCGCTCCCGTGGATAGATGGACGGACCGACCGACCTACCGACGAACGGACGGACCGACCCACAGACGGGCTGACCCAGCGACAGACAGGCGGAAAACATTCATCCATAGAGTATTCACTATGCCTTCTCGCTCGAAATGTGGAGCTGCTCGCCCGAACAGACGGACTAGTGAGTGAGCGAGTGGGCAAACGGACGACCGGCAACCGATCCACTAAGCTGTCCTGAATCATTCGGCATTTCAGTTCCAAGGCTGTCGTAGGGATAAACAAAACACTCTGCGGTGTATCCATATTTCGATCTGGCGATTCATTATCGCCGGCGGTCTCGACAAGTCTAGTTTCGGGTACGGAGACCTTGCGCATGAGCGAGCTCATTCGGAATGAGAGCACATTCGTTCGCTGTATTCTCCGCTGAACATTCGAATACGATGCGAGTTCCCGCTCGTGCCGGAACTCGAGCGACGACGTAATTGCCGACTGACTGTGAGCTTCCAGTGATTCCTGATTCCGGGAGTCGTCGCCGAAACGGCCAGATGATCGAGTCTCACGGGAATCGTATTCGAGCCACCGAGGATTCCCACGAGCTTTTCGAAATAGGGAGATCCAGCTCGATGGATCTCTCACGGATATCGTCCGAGCCCGGAGTACGCATCCGATTAATGGAATTAAAAAAGTCGTCAAAAGCTTCGTTCAGAAGCCTAATCTCGAATCGGATTCGAGTTACTTCCGCCGAGTCTTCCATGCGGTCCGTGAGCATGGCAATAGTTCAGTTCGACCGCTGCGCCGCTTGCGTATCATCTGACAGCTTGAATACAACCCGTACAAAATGATAAAGGCAATGGTTACGACACCAGGGTTAGCGTCGATAGCACGATTCGGCACCGATTTGACGATCGCACAATCCGTCCTGGTCGGAGCGCCGTGATTGCAGCTGGCTGAAAAATTAGTCCGATCGACGTTTTCCGTCTTCGGCCGAATTTTGGCACGAGGAAATGGCGGCATTCGGACGGACCGGGAGGAAAATCCATACAATACAAGATCGCCCTGTATTTGATGCAAGCCTACAATCGGATTCGGGATCTGGGAGGATCTCGCTTCCCTCGTATGGGTCCAAATCGGTTATCAATGGATAAGCATTCGTCTGCGATACTGCTCGGAAGTGGATTTTCGAGACCTAGTATGAGGCAGGCTGCCGGCAGAGAAAACGACGGTCGTCGCAGCCTTGCGTTGATGGCGAGGGCGGCCTCGACAAGTTCAGTGCTCGGAACTCGCCTTGGCCGCTGCAGTCGCTTCGCCTTGGGACAACCTCGAGACCACGTGATTGCCTTGCTTCCTTCTAGACATTTGATGTCATTGGGCGCAGAGAGTTTCCGTCTGCCCTCGCTTTAATTCTGCATCGTTCGATTGCCGGAGAAAGAGACTTGGCCGAGGTCCGGAGTGGGCGTAGAAAAGAGTGAGGGCTCCCTGGCCATCACTTGAGCTGACAGCTCCTGAAGTTGTAACCGTCGATATCAATTCGTTTGTTATCTCCAATCCTAATAACACCACTACCCGGGAGCTTTTTGAATGAAAATTGTTCCAACTCAACAGTCTTGTCAAGACAACAATTCAGGGTCTGGGCGCGAGCGCGTGCCGACAAGCTCGTACGCAGATTCGATAAACGGAATGGCGATTCGGCTTACGACGCAAGGCTACTCCGTAAGGTTCAAGGAGCTCGAGGTTCTCGGAGACGATGTTCTTTCCAGAGTCCGCCTTATTCCGATCGATCACCCTCCTGTATTCACGTTTCGTGAGGAGAGACTTGAACTCCGCAGCTCAATTTAAATGCTCAACGGAGACGGCACTGTTCGAATTGAAATTCGCCGTTCACTAACGGAAAAGGTGGCTTCTTGTGTGAGGAAGTGTTTCAAGTGGCTCTTCTTCTCTCGAAGATGGGGCCCAAGGCCTCCTTGGCCTCCCTCCAGTCAAAATAGATTTCTCTCATAAATATAAGAATGAAGAAGTTCTTATGTATGTAGGTATACTTCGGATGCGGCTGGAATCTGACAGAAAGGAAAAAACAACCCACGCCCTGTCCCGTTCCGAATCAGAAAGTGGTGCACAATAGCGAATCCACCACGACACACTCCTGCAGCCGAAGACTGAACGCCGAAGAATCTCGCCTCATACGTTCTCGGATCGTTGTTCTCCCAAGTCGAGGACCACGTCCCGAGAACCCGCATGTCGATACGAATCATAAAGAAAATTCCATATTCCGAACTCGAGTCTGTCTTCTGCAGTCAACGGAAGAACAGCGCGGCCAGATTCTCCAGATGATTGTCGAAAATGTTCTACGGACTTCGGAGGGGATCTTTCTCCCGGCAAAGAGCGCTGATTTTTTTACCTGCTCATAATCGATTCTTGACCTTAGTCCCGGGTTTTTTCCCGTCCCCTGGGGGCCGATTTCCGAATCCAATTTTTTGGAAGCGATCGGATCCCACGCTAGGAATCCCTGGAAGCCGGGCCCGCTGAGAACAGCTCGCTGACCGGACGGCGCGGCTACAGTAAAAGCGTTGAGCGTACTCCTTGAGAGGGAGTTGCTCAAAGGCCACCGAAAAAATCCTCATATCTTGACTGACTCTTGGCAGTTTTTCCCTTCACGTTTTCCGCCGGCTTTTGCGCTTGTCTTGGTCTTCATGCCACCAGTGAGCAGCGGCGGCGGGCGCCACCGACAGTTTCCACGGACTGTCCGCACGGAACGATGTCGTATTTCGAAATCCAGATCTGACCTCCCTTTCCATGGCGACCTAAATGCTCTCCCCAGTCAGCGAGTCGGTCTGTCTGTCTGCCGAACAGACAGACAGTCAGTCAGTCAGCCGCTAGCCAACAAACCAAGCGGTCCGCCACCCACGGACTTTCTATCCTTGCGCCGCAGACAAAACACATTAGCCTCTTTCCAGCATCCTTTCACATTTCGCAGCTTCAGTGATTCGCAAGTGAGCAATGTGATGTCTCACATGTGGCTTCAATCAGCGGAATCGGAGGAGGGAGAGAAACGTAACCTTGACTCGATCCTCTTCACGATTCAGGCAGAACAGAGCCGGTAGAAGATCGAATCAGCTGGTACACGCGTATACGGGGCCTTCGATGGCTAGAGGCGCACAGGGGCGACCCTGTAGCGTTGAATGTCACGTCGGTGAGATAGCAAGTTCCGACAACAATGTAACTCGATGTAATACGAGACAATGACCTCTATGCATTATACGCGGGCGTCTTCCGATATGGACCGTATTCCGTTCGTGCTATTACTGGGGTTCGCAGCGAACGGAAATTCTCTACGAATAGAGGATTTCGGTGCCGATAGGCCCGAGATCCTGATCCGGGCGTTGACAAGAACTCATTCTAAGAAGAGGGCCGATGAAAACTTCGAATATCCAAGCATCGAGGGACCATACAATACCTGGAGGAAAATATCATTTTAATGGCTTCCATTGAATCGAGCGCGACGCCATTCCTCACCGCAAACGGCGGAAAGTTGCATAAATGGAGTAGTGGCATGGACGTAGGTGATCGAATCACGGGGGATAGACGTCGACGAAAGAATATGCTGCGAGTGAGTCGCAGGTGCCGTGACTCGCCATCTCGAGCCCCGTGGACCGCATAGAACGCATCTGCTCGTCGAGGCTACGCAGGAGATACCTAGGGAAGCGGAAACGTCATTCTCGTCGCGGCCACGGTTGCAGTGTGTTGGAGAAAAAAATTCCCGGACTTGCGTTTAAGAAAATATCCGGATCGATTCCAAAGACTCTCATAAGCAATCGAGAAAACCAACAGAGCGGCGTTTCC